TACTTTCACATGCAGTCGTGTCTCACTTACTTCCAAGTGTCTCATTTTTTATAATTTCTCACACACTACAGCCCAGTAGATGGCGATAGTGCAGCTTAACTTCAAGCCTGGGGTTTTATCTCCACGCAATGTGTTGGACACTAGAGCTAATGTTAGCTACGACTGTCGAGAGACGATAACAGACTAGATAACAGGGCTCCGAGCCAAAGAAAACCTTCAGCTGTTCAAGATCGTAGCTGTAATTATACTGTGAGTTTGCATGAAAAACACACACATAAATATAGATGAAAACTGTCGGTAGGGCCGTCAAAATGAACAGATTAATCACATTAATTCATTCTTAATGATTTATTTGAAAAACATTTTTGAGCCATGTACATGGTATATAAATAATAATTTTACCATCCGTCTACATACGGTTGTTCATATACACAGATGATACACACATTATTAGCCAAACTGCAGCTACATATCATCTCAATGCCCAGTATGTGTTTTAGGCACCTATATATATATATATATATACACACATATATACATATATATAAGTATATATATATATATATATATACTTATATATATGTATATATGTATATATGTGTATATATATATATGTATATATATGTATATATATATATATATGTATATGTATATATGTATATATGTATTTATGTATATATGTATATATATGTATATATGTGTATATATGTATATATATGTATTTATCTATATATGTACTCTACATATGTAGATATATGTATATATGTGTATATATATGTATATATGTGTGTATATATATATATATATGTCTCTCTCAGTCACTTCCCTTTTTACTTTTACTATTGTATTTTCTCTCTCTCTACTTAAATGTGTGTTTTTCTGTCACGCAGTAAAGAGGAAAAAAAAACGATACACAGAAGCATTAGTTTGCGTTTATGTTCCCGACTGTGAATACAGAAGCACACACTGGGTGCTTTACTGTACTGTGAGTGCGGAGTTAAACTGCAGAAGAGAAAAATGAAATGCCCGGGCGTCTGTTGTCTTGTGTAACGATACTGACAGTGAAGAATTCCTCCTCTCCTTTTTTTCATTCTTGTTCACTACACACTCTGTATTCTCAGATCAGGTCAGGCTGGGAAGTCTTTGTGTCCTGTTGTTCAAGGACAAATCTTCCTCCTACTTTTTTCTTTTCTTTTTTTGCTGATGATGTCTCTGTCTTTGTGCAGCAGCCTCAGCCGTCGACAGCCATGTTGGAAACTGCTCAGGATGATGAGCGTGACTGTAAATTAAATCTATTTTTATTGCCCCACCTGCAGGTCACCAGACATTTATATGAAGTTATATTCCCTCCCCCTTTTTAGGCGTGAAATTGTTTTTTTTTAACTCAGTAATTTAAGGTCGACTTTAGGAATTAAAGTCTTCGTATTGTGAGAATACAGACTGAACGGGAATTCTTCATCTCTCCCATATCCTGTAACCCCCCCCCTCCCCGCCCCAACAAACTTATGGTTACAGTATTATGTATTCATGACATGCACTTTGACAGGAGCATAAGGCACAAGATGATGTAATATTAAAGTCACTCCTCTACGATTGCTGTAGTCGTGGTGAAGGTGGGCAGCGGTGGTCTCTCATGGATGCTGTTAATGAGGTTCCTTCTACAAAAACCATCAAATATATAACAGTGGTCTGTCTTCAGTTCAGGCTCCCACTTCATGACCTTACCTGTCGTATGAAACTGGGCTGAGTCGTCATATCTGATGTGTCCAGTAGGTGCAGCTGTTAACGCAGAGCTGACACGTACCAGAGGTTTGGCCCCAGGCTGGTCTAGAACTGTCATCATGAATTGGCAGAAGGATATGTGTTTTTTTTTTTTTGTGTCAGTTACACAGTTACAAGTTACGACTTCATTGACAGAGTTACGCAACTTTTTTATTTTTTTATTTTATTTACCATGAAAATATTACATCTTGCATTGAAAATGGACTAAATCTGATTTAGATTTTTTCCACTAAAAACCATAAAATAACTAAAATAGAACATTTTTAGTGACTAAATCAGGACAAAGAAAGACTCAGAAATTTTGTCTAGACTGATATTGTCTGAATCTGAGTGGCCTGGCTTAAAGGCTTAATACAAAATAACAGAGGTAGACGTTCAGATCATAGGTTTAAAACTTTGCGTCTGGTTTTATTGGTTCATAGTTACAGTAAATCACCTGACCTCTGACATCAAGAGGGAATCGGCTGTAAGAAACATCAGACATTGTACAGATATTTGATATTTTCTCATCTCTGTTATCACAGAATCCCAGTGAAAGTAGCTGCTCTGTAATTGCACTTACTGTCTTGAATTAATTCCAACAAAGCAAAGACTCAGATGATTCCTCTGAGAGGCCTCACTGTTTCAATTAAGGCACCGGGGATTGTGGGGATTGTGGTGCAGTGGGGTTTAGACCGAAGCACGGGGCAATTAGTTCTCTGATTTCCGGCCTCAGTGTCTTG